ATGATCTGAGGCATGCAGAAGCGTATGAAAGTTGTCACTACGGTAGTATATTTATAATTAGGTGTTGTAGCAATTAGAAATTGATGATATAATCTTCGGAATTGGTGATTGTGGGATAATACTTTATTGAGGATCTGGACGAATGAACGGAAAACAATGATACCCGGTGACGGCTGTCAACTTGACGGAAAGGGCAGAGGATGTGACGTCAATAGTTTAGATTGATTGCGTGAATGGGGGGCGGCGGCGACCGCATTTGAGGTTCGAATCAGTCCTCGCATGTGGTTTCGTTTCAATTATTAGTGTGAATGCGATAAAGGGCTCGTGATAGGATAGCGATGGGGATGGGGGTTAGTAGACGAGAGGAGCGCACACTGTGAATCTGTATGCATGCATGTAAAGAGGATGTGAGTGTGCATTGGTGATGTTGCAGTGTAGTAGTAGTAGTAGTTGTGGTATCGATCAGTCATTTAATTATTTAATGATTTCATTATCGGCATGCGGTAATTTGCGTTTGGCTCAATGAAAATAAGATCAAAGAGCGCCCGAAAATCAGAAACAAATAAACGTTTAGCTGGGAATTATAGTTCAGAAATTTGAAAATGACACTAAATAAATATCTAAAATATGTAGTTTGTCTTTAACATTTTCATGCAATAGTGATAGTGAATAAATCGAGTTTCGAGAATTCCCGGGAACGCTTTAAAAAGTTGTCTCGGGAATCAAAAAATGTCGAGACTAAGCAACAACACTAGCTAGTTTGTATTGTTGTTTGCGTGTATGTGTCACCTGTTCCAAGAGTCTCAGCTTCCTTCGATGCGTGTGCTCCTCGAGACGGTCCACGTACTCCCGCAACTCCTCGATCTCCTCCTTGACCTGCTGCACTGTGTCCAGCTCGTGCTTGATGGCCACCATGTCCCGCTTGACCTCCGACACCTCCGACTGGCAGGACTCCACCGATTTGGTGAGCTCCTGCAGTTGGGTGCGGATCTCGCAGAGGGCCACGGTGGTCTCCAGGTGGCGATCGCCGCGCTGCAGCTCGTCCAGTTTCGCGCTCAGATTCATGCTCATCACGCTCACCTGCTTTTGCAGACTTTGCCCGTCCCCAAAAACCAAAGCGGAAACACGGAACCGAAACAGAAACACACAAAACAGACAATCAGACCGCCGCTCCCAGAACTTTCCTTCACAAAAAACACTTATCTTTAAGTTCTTTACGAAAAATCCGTGTCAAATCAACAACAACATTAACATCATCGTATCATCAATCTCACATGAAAACTAACTGTGTTTTTTTCTTCTTCATCTTCTTTTCATTTACTATAACCATTTGATTTTTGGGGGTGATCATGTTGGCTTCCGTTCAAACAAAATATATACAGGTTACTTTAGTGCGCGGAAAATCCATTATGAAACGCGTTCGTTAATGAAAACTTGTTTGCTTCGTCTGTTTTTTTTTTTTACACAATATACTCGCCGAAACACGACCTGTCAATTTCGCGTACAATGTCCACCAAATCCCATAAAAAAATATTACATAAAAACTCTCAACAATCGTAATTAATGACTTATTTATAAAAAAAATTTCAACTTTATAACAATGTGACAACTAGATTATAATTTTGCATTTCAATTATTACTTTCAATAATTTTTAAATTTATTCATTTCCAATATTAAAATTACTCAATTTCACTTAAAAAAATCTACTTAACTATAAACTGTTTGAATAATTAATCATAGTAATGTTTTATTTAAAAAAAAACAGTCAAATACAATTAATTCATTAATGTTATCAAATGGTTATGGTTATTAGAAGAGAAAAAATAAACACATTTACTATTTTCATTTATGTTTTACGCATGCCGTGCAGATTACTTAATTAGTTTAACGGTTTTTTCTTTATTATTATTTTTTTGTAAACCAGTAAACTCATTCCGAAAAAGGTAAACCAAAAGAAACAAACGTACAAAAACCACAGAAAACGTGCCAATTTGCCAAACCAAACGAACGAACATAAAAACAAAATTTTTGAATTTTTTTTTATATAATAAACGAATGCCAATCGCAAATAATAGAAATTTAGTGAAATTATTACATAATAAAACTTTAGTTTCGTTGAGTTTGGGTATGTAATAACTATTTTTTTTGTTTGTTATTGAAGTCGAGTTTTTTTTTTATCTGGAATTACTGTGAATAAATAAGTTGAATTATAATTAATTAGTTGATTGAATGATGTTTAATGATCTGAGGCATGCAGAAGCGTATGAAAGTTGTCACTACGGCGGAAATATTAAATATACTAATACAGTTTTAGATACGAAAAGCAAGCTCGCTACAGATACTAATTTTAGAGAAATTAAGAAGATAAAATACATGTAGAGATTAAGATAGAAGCAGCAGTTAGTTACAGAAGTACTTTTCTTTTGTCATAAAAAAATAATCTCGACACACTTGTCAAACAGAGATAGAGTGTCAAATTGTTTGTTTATACCTGGGTGGCAAGGATACCATGGCTGTGTTCCAAAACTACTCTAGTGTGTGGACACCGCACACCGCGCCAGGTATCCTCTAATGCTTTTTTCAACGAACTCTCTTAGTCTATGACGGCCGTTGACATCCCCGTGACCATTGCAAATCTCCACCTATAGTTTGGAAACACAGCCCATCGAAGGAGCGTGCTTTATCATTTTTGTATTTTCTCACAAGGCTCACAAATGTTAACTACGAAAATCATAAATATATAAAGAAAAATATAGTATTTGAATTATAAAACCATCCACGCCCATCGAACACTCGCGCCATCTATGGCCTCTTGCGCGCAACCCACTCATAAATATGTTGAATATGCATATTGTCAATCGAGCAAAAAATTGATTTAAAATTGGATCCTGCTCGTTTGACGATCGTGAAAATTAAAAGAAAATATAGAAAAAGAACGAAAAAGAGAAATCATAAACTGATGTACAAGTATATTTATATATATATTGATATGTATGCGACCAACAACGAATCGGATCCCAGGCAACGTTATACAAGTCGTAGGGCCGAAAAGTAAAATCCAGAAAATAAAAAAGGAACGAAAACACTTGGCAACACAATAATAAAACGAAAAAAATAATAATGAAACACAAATATGTTAATAATATATTAATTATATATATAGAGAGAGAAAGAGAGTAAGAGATAGAAATATGGACTAAGAAATGAAAATAAAATGGAGATGAGAAGATGTGTACGTAAGGATGCGAAGGGTGGAAACACGTCTGCGCAGAAGAAAGAGAGCAGCAGAAAACTACTCATTAAATGGTTAATTACCTCCGCGAACTTAACACATTGACGACGGCATTAATTATAAATAATAGTTTTGTTGCTATGTACGCCACTGATTTTGACTGAGAATAACCTTAAGTCAAATATCTTAAGTCAATTACAAACTTCAAACGCCAATACATTTCTTATACATATTTTAATAATTCTTGAAGCAATTTAGAACAATACGTGATATTGTGACATAATTTAGGCATACTTTTCAAATTAACTTGTGAAACATATTTGAAATTTTCATTCAATGCTACTTGCCGCTTCTCAGCTCTACTTAGGAGCGCAAAGGCATTGAAAATACAATATGATTATCAGAAGTAGATATTATTTCTGTTTCTAAATAAAAACATTGCTAATTTATTCAAATACAATACAAGCTTAGAGCACAAGATGATATATTCGAGTTGAATAGAAATTGCAATGCTCAATTATTATTATTGCTTATTATAAAACCTATAGCGCTTTTTCCGCGTTTCAATAAAATTCGAACCCGGTTGAGTATATCTATTGAATATAACAAAAATAAAATAGGATCATTCAATAATAGAAATG